AGTAATGCCTCAATCATTCCCTGTAGTAAATGCTCTTACCTAATAACACTGCAGTTCCCTTGGATGTAAAGCATTTTCTTTTGTGAGCTCCTCTGGTTCTTTCATGCCACCAGCGTTTCACTGCCATTGTTCTTATCTGGACAAACTAATTAAAGCAGTTAAGTGTGCCAGAGAATGTGAGTGCAGGATCCATGTTCATGCCAGACGTAAAGGAGCTATAGAGAATATATTGTGTAAACTGGCAGTCCTTTTGTTCCTCTGCAGAAACACCCGTTTTTCAAACACATTAACTGGGATGACCTGTTGAACAAGAGAGTGGAGCCGCCCTACAAGCCACAGCTGGTACGTGTTCAGTCGTCAGACCATGTCCATTATGTTATCAGATAGCTTGTTAATTTGATATTATGCTGGTTAATCTGTGATAACTAAGTCAACTCAGCTATTTTTTCCCATGATTTTTTTCCCCTTACATCTTGCTATACATCTGTTTCATCTTCCTGTCTCTCACCGTCTTTGTTACATTTTTACACACCTTCATATCAGGTAATACATATTTAGTTTTCCCCTCAGTCACGCTTTTTACTCTACATCTTTGTGACTGTCTCCATGTTCCCCTGCCTGTCTGTACAGCAGTCAGAGGAGGACGTTAGCCAGTTTGACACCAGGTTCACCAGACAGACACCAGTGGACAGCCCAGACGATACCTCACTCAGCCACAGTGCCGAGCTCGCCTTTGCTGTGAGATACTGTCCTTTATCCATCTGTTTTTAAGTTTACGTTTTAGTTCACTGGAAATTTTTTTCCCAGTAATTAGACAATGCCTCCTTTCCCACCATAGTTTAAAAGGAAACCAGCAACAACAACAACAGTAGTTTTAAAAAGAAGCCTGAATAATATTACGTGTCCATGATTGACTGTGAAATAAAGATCATTTCCCATCAGGGTTTCACCTACGTGGCTCCATCGGTCCTTGAGAGCCTGAAGGAAGGATTCTCATTTGAACCCCGAACAAGAGCTGTACGCCGACACAACAGCAGCCCACGCACACCCATCAGGTAGCACACACACATAAAGATTTGGTTTAACCGTCAGAGTAGGTACCGACAAGCTGAGGTTCAGCTTCTCCCGTGTTTCAAGACGTTTAGTAGCTTTATCTGTTTGCAGTAACAGTAGTTTTAACCATTTTTTCTCTGACTGATTAATTGTGCAAAACTTTAACATTTTCCTAGTAGCCAAAAATTCTAAATGACATTTAACTGAAAAAGATAACATAAATGATATAAACTATCGATTTACATATTAACCCAAAAATTTTATCTGAGGGCATTAAATCTATCCGCCTATTTCTAATAAGTGAAATATGCAGTCTTTGTTAAAGATGATGACGATAAATAAAAATGTATAATATTTATCTTCTGTTTTCTATTTGATATTACTCAGAACTACTTCTTTTTTTTTTTTTTTTTTTTTTTTTTTTTTTTTTTTTTTTTTTTTTTTTTTTGTTTCTTTCAGTCCCCTGAAATTTTCCCCTGCAGGACCCTTCAAGTCGAGCATTTACAATGAGCCCGAACTTTCCTCTCCCACCTCTCCAATGGGAGCAGCTCCAGTTCCTGTGCCGCAGGAAAACGGAGCTGCCAGTCAGCCAATCAGGACCCCTGCCAGGAACAAGAAGCAGAGGGGACATCGGAGATGAGGAGGAAATATTCACAGAGCCAGCCTGCACCGCAGGACTTTGGCCAGATTGACATTTTCCATAGTGAGTGCTGAGGCACAGAGCTGCAGTGCTTTGTTTTTGCTTATATCATGCTTGAGTGGTTTAACTTAGAAGTCTCTGAAAAGCCAAAATCACAGGTGGAAAGCTGTCGGTCTGGTTTTCCTTTCTCTCATATTATACGATATTCATCTTTCTAAACTAATACAGTACTACTTGGGCCTTATTGTCTAGCACTTCCTGTTCATCATTATGACAAGATCACCTCACACACAGTCTGAATTTTCATGTTTTCTTTTCTCAAGCCCAGTACAAGTACCTCAGTTTGAACATTTGTCTTAGATGGTCAGTTTATTGCATAACGCTTGAGTTTACAGCTTCTTTTTGCCTGCACTTCAAGTGCTGTAAAACTGTGGCGCTATATATATATATATATAATATATGTGAATGCAATAACATATATCAAACATTTTATACAAATGGCACTAGAAAGAAGCAGCACAACCATAGATTTTTCTTCAGCCACTTCCCTAAATGTGCCACTAGCTGTTAAGGTCAGAAAAATAATGGATTCATTGGTGTTTCTTTTTGTATGTACATGCTAGTATAATTACTACAAAGGGAAGCTGAGACTTAGTTTTTTTCAGTTAAATTATTTCTTCAGCTTTTAATTAGTTCATGACAGTTTGCGCAATGAGGTCAGCTATCACGGGTTGACGTTTTAATTAGAGAACTGATAAAGGATCTGTTGATTGAATTCCTGATTCTGTTCCATTAAGGCTTTAATGTTAAACTGACCTTGGGCTGTCAGATTATCAACTAACATTTGGCTGCACAACCAGAATAGGAAGATTAGGTCATGTGTTGGGGTGTCGCTGTATCATATAGAAGTCTACTGAATGAAATGCTGCATCACACATAAGATAATGTATTCCTGATTCTGTACTGAACATTTCTGTCAGAACCTAGGGTGACATTCATCAGTGTTTCCCACAGTGAACCTTCATGTCTGCAGCTGAAGCTTTTCACACCTTATCCTCATATTGTACAAACGGACCAGTCACAGTATAGCAGAGTACACTTAAGAGAGAAACGCTGTATTTATTAATGTGGCTCAGCCTTTATTAATTTGGGCCACCCATCCTCAAACTTGTATAGTAATCACAATATCACCATGTGTTCACAAAAACATTGAGCCATGTGATGAATATGTTCTACAGTCAGAGTTGGCTGGTAAAAGTGGTGCTCTCAGAACACAAAATGTTGTATAAAAACTTTATTTTGGGCTATTGAACAAACCTATTTTTACACATGAAACCTAGGTCAAATAGTATTAGGAATTAAAATCCTAGAGCTTGTTGTGGCCTGACATACCTGTAAGTGTTGATACTGGGTCAGCCAAACGCTCATTTGGTATTTGGATGCATCACAGACAGGTTATGAGGTTTATTTGATGATAGCTGTTTTGTTGTTATTTTAAAATAGATTACTCATAGATTGAGGTAAATTGTTCCCAATTCTCACCCATGGTACTATGGTTTGTATTAATAAAATCCATAAATATCAGTCAACTTTGCATGAGCCTTTAGAGACATAAACAGCCGAGATGAATTATCTTGAGCAGGGGTTGTAAGTGCAAAGTTTGCAAATGAATTATGGTGACAAAGTTTAACAAAATAATTTAGTTCTTATTAATATTCGAAGAAGTATACTTAAAATCTTTAAGTCACTGCCTTTAATTCAGTAGGTATTTATAATTCGAGGCAATGGTGATGGGCACGTATTAGATTGGGGTAAAGATGGGGCAAAATGGAAATTTGATGGGGTGGAAATGCCCTACAAACGTACATGAATAATATGGCTGAAGAGGTTAACCTGTCCTTACATTCAACACGTTACCTGTCTGTCATGGACTTCACTGTGGAATAATGAATGTAGTTTAACTTTAATGGTCATTAACACTGTATAGAGACCCAAGGTGTTTGATATCACATAAAGGAATAATGCGTAAATAAATAATCATCTGAAGAAATGCAGTTAAAATTTGTGACAAAAGCATGAAAATGTTAACAACAAATCCAGTAAATCTATCTGCTAAAGCATTTAGCTCAAAGCATCACAGTGTGCAACTTCACAGACATGCTAGTAAAACTGTAGACCGGTAGTCTTGTTAACTCGTCAGTATTAATTGGCTGGCTGCTCATTCACACTGAAAATAGACTTGTGCAATAAACAGGCCATGAAAAATTGATATTTTGAAATGAAAGCTGTTGGACAAAAACCAGCAAAAATGTTACTGTGTAAAGAAGGAGGATGAAATAACATTTCATAATAAGCTGAGATTTAAAAATGGATTATTACAGTGTCCTGATTATATATTCTAGGTAGATTTTGTTAGGCCTTATTTATTTGATACTGAACCCTGTGGGTCTCTGTAGCATTAGGCTGACTTTTTCCTTTTTTCACTTAAAAAAAAGATCCTCTTATTCTGCCCCTGCTTGTCGGTTTGTCCTGCTCACAGCAGTGGCCAACAGGTCCCAAACATAATGTCCTCCTACCCTCTCCACCAGCCTTCTTTCATTAACAACTGGCACAGTTTGTCCACGTCTGATCCTGAGCTGTGATCAAGCAGCCTGTGCCACTGCTGTTTTGCTCTGAGAAATGGGCAACTTCACACTGCAATTTGTTTCTGTAATGACACTGGAAACGTCCAGAATGAGCCGTGGTGCATCATGAATTGCAAACAAGGTATTTGTAATGCAGGGTGAGCTGACACAGGGCTTTGTTGTTTTTTACTCCCCTTTTGTATCAACTAACCATTTGCTACAACTCCCTTTATGAGGTTGGACAATAGGAACAACTGGTCATTGTGATCAGTTTTGTATATTTATGTACATATAATATAATAATAGCACTGTAAAAGGAATTCTACACCTCTGGAATGTATATTCTAAAAATTGAATTGAGAAAATAAGATTGAGTGAGATTTATTTTCTGTGACCATTGCATGATTTATCTTTTGGTTGTATTATTATCTCTGATAACTAATGAATTTGTTAATTATTTGTTGAGTTATTGTATTGAGAACTTCATTTATGCACATTAAAATGTAAGGTGGATACATTTCTGATGCATGTACTACTTTTAAGTCCAAGACGCACATGATGATGTCTCATAAGGAATCATGATATTTTTCTTTTTGTTTACAGTATATGCTTCAGTGCATAATAAGCATGGAAAAGATATGTACTCATAGAGATTGTTTTTTTTTTTTTTAAATGAGAAGTTCAGGAAAGCACATGTTTTCAAGTATTCTCCCTATTATAGGTCTAAAACCACAGTAGTATACCAAAATGTTCCATTAATATAGCTTAGTTCCCAAAGCTGTGAAGAGGTTTTGTAAACATTCAACACATTGGTAACATCTGCCTTGATCAGTTCTTTAATACTTTTCCTCAACTTTTGATTATGATTACAAGTTGACCACATTTATAAGCTGGTAGAAATCACAGATAGTCTTTTTTGTCTCCTTTCTTCCCTCCCTCTGTAACAGGCCATGCAGTGTAGCATAGGTGTGGCTCGGGAGAGCATTAATAAAGTCATCCAGGTTGGTCAATCCAAAGAAAGTTAGCACTTAAAGCAGAATGTAATGAGGAAGCTTCCTTAACAAAAATGGTTGGTTTTCCACATGCCTCTTCCACATGGTAGAAATATTGGTGATCTGTTCTCCAACACCCATAAAATACTAGTGGTATCCACAGTAAATACCATCGGGTCCACCTTCAAGAATGCCTTGACTTCAGATGTGACCTTCACTAACTGATTAGCAGCTTATTTAGATCATTTCCCGGCAAGTAAAGCCAGCAGGTGCTGCTTTAGGTTGTTATCGCTGTCTTTGGCACTTACCTGTTAATTGCTCATTCTCTCAAACATACTATACACGGAACCTAAATCACAGGACACAGTATTTGAGTTTAGGTTAGCTCTCGATCTGTCTATCTTCCTGGGAAATATGACACAGCAACACAGATCAAACACTCAACACTCAAATTTCCCACACTCTCTAGAAACTGCCTGAACAAACACTGATAAACTGAGCTGACATGCTGATTAGTTTATCACATACATGTTAAACACACATAAGATTGAATTGTGCGAGCATTTGATCTGGGACTATAAAGCCTAGAGCAGGTCAAGATCTCCCAGTAACAGACAATTGCTCATTCACCAGATCCAGGTAAGCCTTGTTCCTACCTTCTTCACAGCATTAGAACAGTGTGATAAGGCCTGAAATATCTTTACTGATGAAAGTTTTCTTCTATGACAGGAACATTCATTCATCACAATGAAGTCATCGCTTGTCCTCTGTGTTCTTCTTGCTGTTGTCCTCTCTGTCAACACTGCATCAGGTACAGTATGTTGCTCACATGGACTGACAATCTCTTTAACAGTTGTGTCTTTGAAGAAAATTCATCTTAAGGCAACTTAAGTCTTAAATCTAGCAAGAAAGTTTGAATGAACATGTATTCTCTGCAGATATGCAGCAACACATGCAGTACAAATTTAAAGCTCCATTAACCAGTGTTCACTATGACTACTGGTAATGTGAAAGGTGAACCCACAGAGAACCCAGCTCTGCAGGTCTCCCAACCCTACATACGTTTTTTTTTTTAGCTCATTGTTGCGGTTTTCTGTTTTGTAACAAATTTGCACTCATCAGCCTTGTTTTCAGACACATCAGGCAACAAGCTTGTCAACTCAAACAGAGACAATATGCTAATTTTGATTGTTTACTGGGTGAATAATAAGGACACTGTTTGCTAACATGCTAGCTACAGCGTATTGTGGGCATTATTGTTATTCTGTTGTTGCTGCCAATTTGCTCCAAAATTTTCTTTGCTGTTGTTGACGAAAAGTGTCAGAATGGCAGCAGATTAATATTGCATCAGAAACAGACATAGTTCGGACTGAGACATTAGATGTGATGCCTAACAGTTCTGTGTGGTCTCAGGTCTTAACATTTATTTTCCTCACTGTACCTAGAAACAGTTCCAGCACAGTGCAAATTCAAATTGAATGCTATCAAGTTAATGCAAATGAGGTTTAATGAGCAGTGAGAGTTATTAAATGTGCGTCTTGGTCTGACTTCTTTAGTAAATGATTACTTACCTTTCATTTCTTATGCTCAATCATTTTAATAGACCATCAAACACTGTGGGTGAGCCAGTAAGTTATTGAGATTCTTTTCATATCAAATGAGTGCAGAAAATACTTTAAAGTGCCCATGGCATGCTCATTTTGCTCATTTCCAGCCATTTAATGTTTAATCTCAGGTACTTCTAAATTAGCCTGGCACCCATCATAACTTGAGATAGTCTGTAATTATTTCAGAACAGTAAAACTCAAGAGCCTCCTACTGAAAACAAGAAGATAGTTCATGAATGTGCTCAACTACTGATGCCGGCATTGTGTCAAAATCTGTTTCTTCATCACGATGTGTTTCCCCTATCCTGAATCCTAACATTACCGTAACCACAACCACTAAGGGGGTCGCTACATGAAACTGAATTTTGCATGAAGAGCAGCAACAGCATTAATTAATTTGAATTTCTCCTCCATAGATAGGTAAACAACTGTATATGTACCGATGAAAAGAGATGTTCAACACACAACAAAGTGGGTAATTGAGAAACCCCAAATTTTAACTGGCATAATGGAGACATAGTGACTTCTCCAGCCTTACAACAATTGTCTCTTACGTTACAGAAACAAGGCATTCATAGACATGCAGCATGTTTTTTTAAACTTACCGTTAAGTACCACCGAGTAGCGGAAACATCACTCCCTTTCAAATAGCTCCAAGGTCGGTAAATCCAACCGGTGGTCACTGCGTCTTCCCCTGCACGACCACAAACAATCCCAAAGTAGTGAAATTAATTCCAACAGGTAGCATAGTGCCAACAACTATTAACTGAGTTGCTTTTGCATAAAAGTACAACAACACAGTTACACTTCGTTTTTTTGACCTTTCAGCCACATTTATGATTTTAATTCACCATTGTAACATTGTAAATAAGTCAGAAAACAGAAAGGCACGCCATGGGCTCTTTAAATTTGGCACGTAAGCAAGAGGGAATTTACTGTAATAAGAGTCCTCACATACTGCACTTAAGGATATCAAAAATAGTGTTTAAACATTGACAACGTATTACAGGATTCACTTGGGAGAAGAGGAAGTTCTCTACTGTACATGTGAAAAGGGTTTAACATCACTGTTAGGTATGGTTACAGGTACAACAGTTTAGAAACTAGAAGTTAGAACTAGAAGTGATCAATGAAATAATGCTTTTTTAGCTTTTGGTGTAATTTTAATGAGGTCATGGATCTGCAACCTTTGCTAGACCAATTTTTCCCATCAGGTTAGCTTGATGTTAGCAAATACTACATACATACATTTATGTTTTTTAACACTTTTATTCTTTTCTTCATAGTGTATTTCACTACCAATGCCCCTGGTACACAACAAACTGGAATGATGACAGATTATGTACAAACCTCATCCATGGCCTCTACTGCAGGTACTTGTTGTATAACTACACTTCATTCAGCATCAACAGAAAGAATGTTTCTGTTTTTATTTTTTCTTTAGCCTTTAGTATAAAGTTATTCTAATTTTTATGAGGTCATAGCTCTGCGTCCTCTACTAAACCAAATTTTTCCCATCAGGTTTGCTTCATGTTACATACTAATGTTGATCACATTTATGTTTTATCACTTTTATTCTTCTCTTCACACTGTATTCCACTCCCACTGTTCCTGTTACAGCGACAGACTCTTTCACTGGAATGATGACGGATAATTATATACAAACCTCTGAAACTACACCTAAGACCTTTACTGCAGGTACTTGTTGTATAACTACACTTCATTCAGCATCAACAGAAAGAATGTTTCTGTTTTTATTTTTTTTTAGCCTTTAGTGTAAAGTTATTCTAATTTTTGAGGTCATAGCTCTGCAACCTCTACTAAACCAAATTTTTCCCATCAGGTTAGCTTGATGTTAGCAAATACTGTATACTAATGTTGATCACATTTATGTTTTAACACTTTTATTCTTCTCTTCACAGTGGCTCCCACTGTCACTCCTGCCTTTTTCACTGAAACAACGATGAGTAATTCTACAACCCCCACTATTCCAACACCCCCCCCTACTACCGGTGCAGTTAATTGTTGTATGACTACATTGCATTCAACATTAGCAGAACCTTCCCCCTCATCTTTACAGAGCATGTGTCCTAATGGATGGGAGGAGTACCAGGGACGTTGCTACTACTTTGTGAATGAGGACTTGACCTGGCCTCAGGCTCAGGTAAAACAACAAGTTCCAAACACACACTGTGAAGAAAACACAAAGTTCCTCTGCAGATGATATTTAAGCATCATTAACAATTTATTAATGGATTATCTACATGAATTTCTGCCAAACTATACATATCGTACATTGCAGTGTTACATTGGAGCCTTATTTATGTGGTTTGTATAATGCCATCGTACAGACAGGCTGATTGGTTTCCCTTTTTTTTTCACTTAGTGTAAAAAAAATGTCTGGATGCCAATTGCTGCCAGGAAAAGAAAATAAAACATTATAAAAAGAGAGAATTTATATTTAAATGTTTTTGACAAAATTAAAATTCACTTTCTATGTACAACTTCTATACTAAGTCATAATATTTAGACAAATTGATATGTGAAAACTTACTCTCTCATAGTTGTGATCATAATTTTGAAGTATTAAGTTATTCATTAAAAATAATAAGATAATAAAAATATTAAGATGATTTTGGCTTGCTATGTTATTATTTTAAAATTAGTAGTCAAAATGATTACAATCTAATAAGTGTTAATTAATAAGACAAAATTCTTACTTTATCTGTAATTTTGGCTGCATAGTGGAGGGAAGTGATTATACATTGTTCATCTTTATATACAGTCTATGGTCAGAACTGTTACATTAGCAATAATACATTTGACCTGATATTTCATAACATTGACTTAAAGAGTGAGAATTCTGTATGTCAGGGTTTTTAAATGTTTACATTTTTTATTTCCTGGCAGAAATGAGTTTCCAAAGCTATACCCATACTAGAAAAAAAAAGTTCCAATCTGATGACATAATCAGGTCAAGAAGGACGAAGATCTTTATTGTATTAAAGCATTCTTGATGTTTCAGGACCCACAGTATTAGACTGATCTGTTTCACTTTAAGACTTGTTATTCTTAGTCTATTCTATTTTATTTTCTGATTTAAATAACAGAAGACACCAAGAGAAATGCTTCCATTTCAGATTAAACAGAAAAAGAAAACATTTTTCCTATGCTTTTTTGTTTTCAACAGATACATTAATACAGTGTACCAAAGAGTACCAAATTCATATATTATATTGCAAGACTTTAATGTGTCTCTCCTCATCTCTCTGCCCTGTTGTGTTTCACCAGTCAAACTGCGCCTTGCTTGAGTCCATGTTGGTCTCTGTCCACAGCATCCAGGAGTATGGTTTCCTCCAGCAGCTCACTAATAGTAATGGAAATCAGGAAGCTTGGCTTGGTGGTTTCTACCTACAGGTGCAAACCATGATATAATGGAATATTATTAACCATGGTGGTATTTGTCTGCAGCAGCACAGAGAATATTGGAGATAAATAAGAGGAAAATAAATGAATTGCTAATGAAATTAGTGGAATATCCTCAAATTAAGTGAGTTTTCCAGACTGAGGTAGTGACATTTGATATCTGAGGATGGTGGAGAAAATCAGACACTTAAATAAACACACTAACTACAGAACAGTATAATAGAAATCTTGAACACATTTCTTAGATTTTCTGAGAGTTTGAAAACCCTTGTGGCAAAAATATACAGCAACAATTTAAAATAGCATTTAAAAGTATTGCACCTCCTTTATGCTTAAAGATTTTTCATGTGGAGACATTTGTAAATCACTACTTGACTTAAATGTTAACTGTCCATAGTGATGCTGAAAGTCATGGAGCACTACATTAGTAACACATTGCAAACCCTGAATAACAGGCATAGTAACTTCTCCAGCCTTATAACAGTTCTCTTTAATGTTACAGAAACAAGGCATTAGCAGACATGCAACATGTGTTTTTTTTAAACTTAAGTCCCACTGAGTAGTGGAAACATCACTCTCTTTTAAGTAGCTCCAAGGTCGGTAAATCCAGCCGGTGGTCACTGTGTCTTCCCCCACACGACCACATACAGTCTCAAAGTAGTGAAATTACATAGCATAACAATAACATCATGGATTGTTAAAATCCTCTCATTAATCTCATTCACCGCCACGGGGGCTTCACTGGCCGGCTGCTTGTAGGTTAGACCTGGTCAGTTGAAACAGTGAGTCCCTGTACCTGAACATTCCCAGACGTGCAGTAACCTGAGGGTCTGTATTTTTCTCCACATCCTCTGGTCACAGTGCAGCAGCAGGAGGGAAAGTAGAGTTTGTGAGATGTGTATAAACCGAGTTGCTTTTGCATAGAAGTACTAGAGCATATGTAGACCTAATTTATTGAGCTTTAGGTCACATCTAAGATGATAATTCACCATTGTAACATTGCGAATAAGTCAAAAACGGGGAAAAGCGCCATGGGCTCTTTAAAGACAGTGTCATGTATTGTCGAACTGATTCAGAACTCCCTCTGTGCTTCAGCCAAAACAGAATCAGCCCAAAATAAAGAGTCATGTTAAACCCCCTACAATGAAACATCCTCATTTTAGTTGGTCAGCTTTGCTGGCTCCATTCGGCTCACTCTGTTGTGATTATGCATACTGTATTTAGATGTGTCCTCTGAGGAGGAGGTAAAAACCAGGAAGTAGCCTAATAATTGCAGTTTTCCAAACTGACTGCTAATGGAGTGTTAGCCCTTTGTATTTTTGCTCAAAATGCTCCTCATTTAATTAGCCCTTCAACTGAGCTCATCATATCTTGCTCTTTTATTTGTATTCATATTTTTTTTTGTCTCACTAAAGCAGTGGTGGTGATTTTGTGCTTCTTATCCAGGATCAGTGGTTATGGCTTGATGGTTCTTGGTTCTACAACAACAGCTGGGGTGTACAGAACATAGACAGCAGCAACCCTTGCTTATTGCTCAATCCCTATGGTAAGAAAACACACATGAGGGTCCCAGAACACTGACTAATAGATTGTATATTAAGACTAAAGCAGCAAGTTGCCCAATGGCCGGTGGCCAGCAGAAAGAAGAAAACAATAGTGACTCTGTATGAATGATTTAGATTTAGCTCGTCACACACATGGACTTCATTTTCAGAATGAACAATCAAAGCTTTCACACACTTTGTGAGTTTCAGGCATTTATTAGTGAGTTACATAACTCTCTGCTCCATTGTTCTCACAGCCTTTTTCTACTCCTATTTTTTTCACAGCGGCATGGATCAATTCCCAGTGCAACATTGAAGGCTATCCCTCAATCTGTGTGAAGAACTCTAATGTCCGTAAGTCCTTTTTTAATGAGACACGACAAGGCAGGCTCATTGTAAATTTACAAGATTAAAAAAATCCATTCACTTTGAGACAGAGGCTTATCATATTCTTCCTCTTTCTCTTTTACATACTACTGTGTTATTAAACACAAACTCATTGTCCCAGTTTGCCAAGGCATTTATCTTCAAGCATGACAGTTTGATGATGGGAGGCTAAAAGTTCTGTTAGCTAAGTGATAGAACAGTCAGTGAAACAGTGCCAATAAACTTCAAGCATGTTTAAAGTAAATGCACACCTATCACAAGTCAAATTCAGATCTGTGAAGAAATGAACTTGTCTTTATCAAACCTGAAACATGTGACTCTGGTTTCTGGCTTTAAGGAACGATTGTTCTTATTTACAAAAATTGAAGTATGTGAGTTCTGGGTGGATGCTTGTGTAACTGTTGTGTAACAAATCTATCTAGAAGAAGTCAGCAGCAGCAGGAAAGGAAAAGGAAGGCAGGCTATCATAAGTCATATGTTCATGATGTAGATTTGGACCCACATCATTGTTTTAAATTGTATGGCATGCATGATTTTTCTCTTTTCTCTCTCTTTTTGTGACATTCACAGAAAATAGGATGATGTGTCCTCAAGGCTGGTCCTTGTTCCAGGGCCGCTGTTACTACTACAACTCTGCCCCTCTGACCTGGCCTGAAGCTGATGTAAATACACTTTGTAACTGGCATTAGAGTGTGTTTCATATCCAGATTGTTTAGGAATGCAGTAACTGGACAAACATGCAGCTACATAATAGAAAAATATTTTAGAGGAATTTTTGACAAATACACAGAAATTTAAAGCGACTGCAAACAATATGTTTTTAATAAAATTTAATCATGGTAGTTAGTGATTAGCTAAACATAATGAAGCACTGAGCAGCTAAAGAGCCAGAGATTACCCTCAGGAGGTGGAGGGGACCAAATGGAGAAGCAAATGGAGAGTGAATATTAGAATTATATTCATCAGGTGGCACAGACATGACTTAAATGAATGCTAATGTTACACTGTATCTGCTTAATATGTAAATAAGCAACTCTTTGTGAAATCATTTAACATATCAGATTAAAAGGTGAGAACATTTCAGGTTAGGGGTGGGACAGTATATTGAAATTCAATATAACGCAATACAAAAATGTCACAATATGTATCATTTGTCTAGCAATATATATCAAGTGGTCTCAAAACACCAGCAACTTCATATTTGATAGCCTAACAGTCAAAATATCTGGTTGTTCTTTACATAATTAAACCTGTGCTAGGGGGTAAAGTGCACATATTTTGCAACTAGTCATATATTGTTGTCACCAAACTTTTAATTGTATTGTGATTGAATCGAATCGTATCAAGAAAAAGTCATCGTCCCATCCCAATTTCAGTGTGTTCAGCGGTTGCAAGTTTACAATCATCACACAGTGGAAAAGGGGGGTCTTCAAGGCTAATGAAATGGATTTCTTGCTTACCTACACCTTTCATGGACAAACTGAGTTACTGCCCCTTTATCTTTCACTTTCTTTCCTTCTCTTCGTTCATCCCTGTATTTCTCAGTCTCTCTCCTTCTTTACTGTTACTCTCTCTTTACCTTGGTGTTATCCTTCTTTTCTTTGTCTCCTACTTTATTCCATATTTCATCTTCTCCTGTCTTCTTTCTCTCCACCAGACTAACTGTGCTGGTCTCGAGGCCAGCCTGGTCTCCGTCCACAGCCCTGAGGAGTATTACTTCCTCTATCAGCACTCTGAATATTCTTCGGCCTGGCTGGGTGGATTCTACCTTGAGGTGAGTTGACTAGACAAAAGCTTACTATAGCAATATGCTCAGGAAAAGTGAGCCCCTGATACTTCTCTCTGTGAGTGGGTTTGATTTTAGTTTAGTTCATTTTCTGAATACATTTAGTGCCCATGACCTGCTCATTTTGCTTGTTTCCAGCCATTTAATGTTTAATCTTGGATACCTCTAGATTAGCTTGGCGCCCCTCATAACTCCAAATAGTCTGTAATTATTTCAGAATGATGAAACTCGAATGCCTCTTCCTAAAAACGAGAGGATAGTTTGTGAATGCGTACAACTCCTGTTGTCGGTGTTATGTCGAAGTCTGTTTCCCAACCATGATGCGTTTCCCCTATCCTCAATCCTAACATTATCCTAACCAAAACCACTGAGGGGGCGCTACATGAAACTGAGTATTGAACAGAGGAAACATCTCGACAGGGGAACAAAAAACACTGACAAATACGTTATGTCATACGTTATGACAGTATCTCAAATCCTAATTGACATGTTCGAGCCAGAATATGTCAGTGGACAGAATGACAAACCACAGCAGCATTAATTAACTTGAATTTTTCCATAGATAGTTAAACCATTGTATATGCACCGATGAAAAGAGATGTGTAACACTCTAACCAAAGCGGGTAATTGAGAAACTCCATATTTTAACTGGCATAATGCAGACATAGTGACTTCTCCAGCCTTATAACAATTCTCTCTTATGTTACAGAAACAAGGCATCAACAGACATGAAATGTGTGTTTTTTTAAACTTACCATTAAGTCCCACTGAGTAGTGGAAACATCACTCCCTTTCAAGTAGCTCCAAGGTTGATAAATCCAACCGGTGGTCACTGCGTCTTCCCCACACGACCACATACAGTCCCAAAGTAGAGAAATTAAATCCAACAGGTAGCATAGCACCGACAATAACATCATGAATCGTTAATCCGCTCATTAACCAGCAATACATCACATGCAGCAGACACACTGGCCTCAAGCAGTTAAAACAAGCAGATACTGTTTTCTGGGGGAATCCAGCATTGATCAGCTGATCATTCACTGCTACAGGGGCTTCACTGGCTGGCTGTTTATAGGTTAGACCCAGTCAGGTAAAACGACGAGTCCTTATACAGGAACATTCCCAGACATCAGTAACCTCAGGCCCTGTATTTTCCTTCACATCCTCTGGTCACAGTGCAGCAGCAGGAGGGAGAATGTATCCACAAAACAATAGCACTGGTGGATGTCAGGCAAGCTCACATGAATGCGCAATAGCTTGGAGATCATGACCATTCAAGGAAATCAATAAACTGTCAAGTAATGCTTAGTTTTGTTAGACAAAAAGTCTTGCGAGTGAGTTTGTGAGACATGTATAAATCAAGTTGCTTCTGCATAGAAGTACTAGAAAATACGAAACACCTATTTTTTTGAGCTTTAGGTCACGTCTAAGATGATAATTCACCATTATAACATTCTAGATAAGTCAGAAAACAAGGAAAAGCATGCCATGGGCTCTTTAAATGAAAAAGAACCATTGTTAAATCACACGAAGGTGTCTCTGTATAAATGAGCAAGACATAAATAGTAAGTTAGGAAGACACATTGCTTAATGCAACATCTGTTGATGTTGCATTAAGCAATGTGGGATCTTTTATTTCATTTAATTATCAAGTGAAAACCAAGCAGTGATGTGCAGGTTCTGCACGTGCATCAGTTTTCTAAAATGTGGCCCATTTGTCTTCTACTGGAGGAAAGTTAAGCTTGGTGCTGTTCATTTTTGGCCCAGTGTTCCTCATTTTGTTGAAGAATGGCCTGTAAAAAAACATTTTCTCAGAAATGCAGAAAAACTATAAAGCAACAACAGTCAGGGCAAACCAAACCTGACTATAAAAACAGCAGAATCCATCCATCTGGTGTTGTTCACCAAAAACCAGTCCAGCACATAACTCCTAATAAAACCACTAATGAAAACAAAATGTGTTCTGTTCCTAATGCCTCCTCTGCTATTCCTAAATATTCCTTGAAGTATTATGTGAAAATGATTTGAACTAAACCTATATGTCTACAAGTGTTTGATTTTTAGTCTCAGAGATGCATGGTGAAAATGCAAGGAGAGAGGAACTGAGGAAACATGTTTCAAGAGTCATGATTCATCCGTTCCTCTAATCCTTCATTTGAAGCATCTAATCAGCAACCAATTTCCAACAAAAAGGTGTGTGGTTCCATAAAAGACTTCCACAAAGGATGGTCTCATGTATCTTTGCTCATGGCTCCTCCAGCAGCTTCCGCGCTCTTATATCAGACTAGATATAAGAGTTTTGGGACGTCCTCTGTCCTTGCCGGACCAGAACGACTTCTGGGTTGAGCGAGGACCAGTGAAATGAAACTTATCCTACATCCTGTCTCATTTTCGCTTGATTTATCAGTGTGTAAAATCTTAATACACTAAAAAAATATATTTTTCAGAAAAATTCTACGCTCATTGGCTTTAGATACTACTAAAAGATGTTCTGTCACCCAAAATATTTGGATATAATATAAATCATTAAGATGCTTCATTAAATGATAATATATGATTGTCATACACTTCAGAATGAGTGGGTGTGGCTCGATGGTTCCTGGTTTTATCAGGGATTTTTTGGTGAGGAGTCTTCAGACAACACCAACCAATGCCTGGCAACATACAGCTCTGGTAAGACTACACACTTACTGTACTCCTTGTGTATTCTTTGCAAAGAAAAGACATATTCCTGGTCAATTTTAAAGTCAAACTCGAGCTTATTCAGCAGATTTAGTGAATATTCAGTTCTTTCTTTTGAACCAATAAAGTATGCCATTTCTGCATAACCATAAAAACCCTTATAGCTGCACTGTTTTCTGTATAGAACATGAGAGCATGTACATTTTGGCAGATATCTAACTTGTTTTATTTTTGTGTTTTTACAGATGGTTGGGGGAGTTACGGCTGTAATGACATGTATCGCCTCCCCTCATTTTGTGTGAAGGATGCACTTCTCCACACAGGACAAACAGAGCAATGAAATATTTCAGTCAAGCACAAATTAATGGATTGTTCCCAAAATGTGTCTTGAGCAATATTTCCAAACAAATTAAAGAGCCATTTATCACCCCAGCATTTCAAGATGGTCATGTTTATCATTGTGTCATGTACTTGAATGTGTTGCTTTTTTCTCCAGTATAAACAACTCTAACATCCGCATCCCTCCTCAAAATGATTTGCTGTGAGAGCAGCAGAATCAGTGCTTAATAACACTTTGTTATCAACTTCAAAGCCTGCTTAATTTCTCAGCTCCACACAGCTGGACAGTCAAAGTGTCAAGTGGGTGTGAAGGTTACAGAAAGTTCCAGGAAAGGTCAGATACAGCTCTAATGTCAGAACGGTGGAGGTGGAGGGGGGGTTTCAGCTCATCCACCAACCAGGTCTGATGAAGAGCCTGACACTTCAGGTCAGTTCTGACCTGCATGCAGAAACAGTGTGCACCAAATAAGCCCCATGGCCTTGGTTCATATCAGGAAATAGTCAGTCCCATTCTTGTCATATATAGTGTTAAATTGATTTCTGTTTTCTGACATCAGCAAGTGATGTGATAACATGAGCAGTGTAAAATGTCAGCTTCCTAATGTTAGAACAGGCTGTGGTGGTTGTAAGATGTTCACTGGGAAGCTAGGTACAGTTGGTGAGCTGTTGCTGTTAGTTAGAAGTTCATTAGCTGACATTAGGTACCGGTTTTATGTTTTGTTTTGTTTGTTTTTTACAGCATTGTCCCCGCAGTTATCACTTTTGGCAGTCCATGAAGAATACAGGAATTGTTCAAGGAATTTATAGTTTAGCTTTTTTTTTGTTTATCAGTGTTTGCTTGCTCTTAGTTCTGTCCTTCGCTGTTTTCTATATTCTGTATATAGAGTCACTAGACTTGACCGTAGGATAAACTTATGCACAGATTAAAGGGCTGATAAAGAGCTTGTATGCAAATAGGAGCTGTTGGTGTATCTGATCTAACCAGATGCCAGGTGAAGGAACTGCTTGTTGAGATAAGATGACATAACCAGTATTTAGCCACAGCATATAAGAGTCTTACTTGGCTGCATTACTTGTGGCATTACAATTTTTCATATTGACAGTCAACCTTTAGGTTATGAATCATAATAGAAGGAAAGAAACCTGATCGTATTTGTTGTGAGCTGTTCCAGTCTGGTTCACACAACAATCTATGTTGGATGTGGCAGCCAGAGCAGCACAGTGTCATCTGATTTTGGCTTATTTTAAAGATTTCTGTCTGACTCTTATTGTCTTCTGTTGCCATGGAAACAATTTTTCATGTATATTTGAAGATTTAGGTTGTATGGTTTTAATTATATGGTGATACTTTCTTGTTTTTATTAGTACATTTTAATTTTTTATAGTGGGTTTGAGCTACACTTTGTGTGATTTTCTGATTCATCTTCATATGCATCTTTATTTTTTTTTTTTACATTTGTTGCCCTCTGCATGAGTTAACCATTTTAAGATGGGGCAAAAATAATGTGTAGTAGCCCCTTTCATCCAGCTGGGGACACTATACAGCCACTGCAGTTACAGTTAGTAAGCTACAACACAGCAGGAAAGAATACTGAATTTGCTCTCAGGCAGGAGTACATACCAGTAGCCCAATGTGAATAGGTTTGAAGTAATTTTATTCTGAAGTAAACAAAGTGCTCCAGCCTTTCTCCTGCCTGTCTGTTTTTAGTCACATTCAGTGTGACAGCGGTTGTCTTTATTGCCTGTCTTCAATGCTGCAGTGAATCTTTAGTTGACATATACTGTAGGATTCATTGCTTTATAAATGCTTATCCAAGAAAAAACAAAACCATAGCTAACATGTGGTTTATTAGAAATGCAGTTTCTGGCCCAGCAGAAAAAAAAAAAGTCAATTCAAGTGATTTTCACATAGCACATGACAGTATAGTGGAGATAAGATCCTTTCATCAGCATGGTCTGTTTTCCAGTGTTCCTCTTCCAGAATGCCACTAAAGACATGCCTGCACCCTCAAGCTGAAACTCTTAATTTTTTGTTACCATAAAACACTATTAATTTCCCCATTATTAATGGTGCCATCAATGCATTTTCTTTTACTGAGAAATAAGTAAGATGAATAAATACATTGTAATATGCTGAAGAAGAAGAAGCTTTATTTTATTGTAACACGTACAATGAAATTTTGTTCTGAGCTGAGGTCCCTGGGCTGCCATCATAGGCAACTTGGGGGTTCAGTGTCTTGCCCAAGGATGCTTTGATATGTGAACTGCCGGCACTGATATTCGAACTTTCAGTCTTCCGGTTGAGAGACGACTGCTCTATCCACCGCAGTAGGTTTAGGCCAATTAGTTCAAAGGGATTTGAACCACATAAAATTTACTAAATAAAAGTAAACATTAATTTATACTTAGTCATAAGTCTTTCATTGGTGTTACCATCACATTGAACAATTTACCTGTATCCCATAGAGGTTTTTGGGTAAATTGGATAAGTTGAAGGGGTTAATTAATCCCCAAATTTTAATAGTTCTTCATCTTTGCAGATACACTTATTTTGCTTTCTTGTTGAAAGTTACATTAAAACTACTGGAATGGACTGGAAACAGCTAGCCAGTTAAAAATAATAATTTTAACTCCATATAGCCTTAAGATCTACGCAGAATTGAAAGGTTTTATAAAGAGGGAAAGACTGGGGTACGGGAGATACTTAGGAGATCTAGCAACCCTCAATTGTTGTGTCACAGTTAGTACTGGGGAAACAGGAAACAGGAAAATGGGACCCAAGTAAAGGAAAGCCAGGCAGACAGATGCAGTGCGCATATTTTATTCAATACGTTCTCATTGCAGGGCATCAAATACTGTCAAGAACCTTTTGTGTCTCATACTGAGGCTAAACGATAACTTTGGAGGCTGTATTAGATGCCAAAGGTAGTAAACACCTTGGTTTTATACACAAAAACTATGTGTTTTCCACTAAAACGGTGTCATTAGGTTTTTGCACAAAAAGTACATGCTTAGGTTTGGGGGAAAAGTGTGTGTGTTGGCATAAAGTATAGTGTTGTCTCTCGAGGCTTGAGTTCGACTCCACCTTGAACTAGGAGACGGCTGTGGCTCAGGAGGCAGGACATTCATCCCCCAGCAGAAGGTCAACGATTCGATTCCCACGTCCACATGCCGAAGTGTCCTTGGGCAACACACTGAACCCCAAGTTGCTCCTGATGGCCAGAGCAGTGCCTTGCAGGGACCATGCCACCACTGATGCACTGGTGTGTGTATAAGTTACCACCGCAGATGGCTGCCTTGGTTCTGTACCTGGAAACAAATTCCTTAAGTAACATACTTGGCCAATAAAAGTGATTATCAAAAATAAGATAGCTTCATCTAGTTAACTTAGGAAATGGTTGGTAATTCTACCTGGTAATCATTTTTATGGCAATAAAGGAACATATGTACTTACCTAACTAACTGGTTAAACCTTAACTGAATTAAATAACCATGTTTTAAGGTGGAATATCACAAGATAAGGTGATATGATATGGTAAGCTCATCTCAGTCCTCCTTAACATCCATGTGCCTGCAGCACTTGAGCTGCACAACCTATTCTTATTCACTTCAGCTTCTTTTTTCAGCCCTGGCCTTAATCTCACAGTTTGTCTCGGGTTGTGTTGACAGAGAAAAGTGCCTCAAATAGCACATTAGCATGCGAGCTTAGTGTACACCATTTTATAGTTAGGCGTGTGCCCCTGAGGTCAGCTCTCAGTGGAGCTGTGTCCACGTTAACAGTTTCAGTGAAGAAAGACTGAGGAGGGGCCGTGTTGTTCCAAACATAAAGACCAAGGCTAATGCAAATTTAGGTCGTTTATTTTCATTATACTGAGATAAAAACATTTAATGAGGATAAACTGCCATATTTAACATTATATTACTATTGCATTAATGACTGGGCCACATTTTTACATTTTATAATTCACAGTGGAGCGAGAATTATGACAGACATAACCTGGAAAAATAAACTAATGTCATGAACCCTCTGGAGTCCTCATTTCATACTCAAACTTCAAACTTAGCAATATAGCAGGTGATGGCTGCTTTCTATGAAAAAGAATGGTCTCTTTGACAATGCAGTGTTGAAACTCAGCTTCCAAGCCAGTTCAAGAAAAAAAAAAGTTACTGGATCACATTTTCCTTTACTGGAACCATAACGGCATAGTGTTACACGGCTAAAATGCTGAAACTATGATGTTAAGGATGTGTGTACATTCACTGGGGTATGGGCTTCCTATTGAGCCAGACGGCTACAGTTCTTGTTAGGCTGTTTTGTCAGAGAAAAATGACTCAGTTTCCCCAGTGTACAGTCCAGTTATGGCTGGAATTCATGACTGTAACAACTGTTGTTCTCAGCTGCTGTGCTTATTCCTGCAAGATTATGACTATATGATGGTCATGTGTGGGGGTCACTTCTCAAAACAGATCAGTTAATGTCTTTTTGCGGGTGAAGTTCAGTGGCAAAACATTTTCCGAGAACTGACAGTGACTGAAACAAATTGCATATGGTATTCATGGTATGTTCAGCTTTACCAAACAAAATCATTTTATAATATAAAAGAAACAACCAAACCCAGAAACCTGGCTATTATGCATTGCCAGATTTTTAGGAAATCAGAAATGGTGTAAAAAGTGATCACTTTTTTGAGAAACATTTTCATCTCTGTTGTAATTGACCTCCTGATATACATAGACATACAGTATACACACACATTAAAAATCATACGGTCAGAAAGGGGGTTGTTGACGAGGAGCTCCTTGTACGGTGAGGATGGGGAGCTGGGTATGTGTAGGGTGTTTCCACAGACCACAAAGTGGACAGCTTCACAGGGACATTTTCTTCAGAATGAAGTACTTCCAATGAAAACTGTCAACACTGTGGAGGTGGTTTGCTAAGATTAACAATGACACATCACTTTCTGGAAAGAGATGCTGCTGTTTTTTTAATGCCTCCTCCAGCATTGTATTGGTGAATTTTCAGAGAAATTGAATCTATTTAATTGCCAGATACCACAAGACAGAAACATGAATATGTTCATGTTTATTTTTTGTCAGATTTATTTATATTGGTAATTTGGGCGAAGTGATCCTTTAAATCCAAATGAATCCTTAAGAAAAGTTCAGTTCCTTGATTTCCCAAAAAACAATGATAACATACCCCAGATATATAAACCCCGTGTGCTCAAATGCACAGCCAGGGGCAGATGATTTTTTAATGGTTTGCGAAGCACTGAAAATACAATAGACCAAATTGTTTTGTCATTATTAGGCCTACAATCTGTTGCCTAACTCTTTATTCACTTAAAGAGCTCATGGCACAAATTTGTTGTGAGTTAAAACAAAACGATGTGCCTGCAGGGGATACATACTCTATGTAATCACTAACAAATACTAACAAATAAGTTTAAAAAAGAGCAGTAGATTACATATGTTTTCAACAATGCTGTATTTTATTTTGAGTAAACAATGCAAATAAATAATGCAACAGTGATATACAATATTAAAACAGCCTTTTGTCTTTGGCTTATGGGTTCTGAGTATATTTAACCTAGTATTGTGTTGGTGCTACTTTGACTATTCTGTCTATTCATACAGATACAGTAGATGCAGTATACTATATACTGTATATATTTATTTTTAGAAAATAACGATAGTTTTACTGATACTGTCAGAATCAAACACGCTGTTTGTCATCATATATTTGTCCACCACCAGTTTTACCTGTTTTAGGATCCTAATTAATGTCTTTACACAGAACTGGCACCAGGCTACTGTTTTCATTCCACTGAATTCTTTGTTCCCTTTTTCACATTTAATTAAGTAAGTTGGGCAGTGATTGTCTCTTTTTGCCCCTTAAATTCATTCATCAATTAATTGTTTGTTTTTGTTTTATATTTGGTTTTCTTGCTTTTTAAATTTTGGCTTTTTATATTATTTATATTTTACATTAAGGCGCTTCCATTTAGATTTTCTACAGCTGCATGTTCATTTATTGCACAACAGGCGTAACTAATTTAAAAAGTCAGCCGAGTGACTTTCACTGACAGTAACAGCAGAAGCTAGATAGCAAGTTCCTAGAAGGTGACTAAAATTAATTTACTGTAAATGCTCTCAGCCACCATCTCACTTCCTCTGAACAATGTCAGACTGTGAGTTTGTTGGCAGGCTGCACAGTGGTCTTAATTAGTCATGAGCTTACTTTAATAGATCCTTCAGTAAGACCAACATACTCTGAGGGCTGGTGGTTGGGGTCCCAGTAATGAGATCTGACACACTGCTGCAGAGATCATTCTATCAATAAGTATTTCCACATGTTTTATGACAGGTGGTTGCTCTGTGTTGTTCACAGCAGCACCTGTGAAGACAAAGCATGTCATCCCATTCAGTGAGTAAACATTATGTCCACCATAACACACAACTGGTTAGGCTAGGCTACCAAAAAGGAACTAAGGGACTTTTTGCAAGTTAATATAGTCAGTGAGAGCAGTCAGTGACACTCATGCATGCAAGTAATAATAAATAATTATATTTAAAAAATAAAACTTTCATTTAAACATTTCGGTATAATTAGCACAGTGTCTTCTACAGTGAAGAAGGCTCCTTTTAAACATTTCAAATGAATTACTGCCAACTTATTGCTGGTGTGAATCTATGATGTTATAAAAGTGTCTTGTGAAGTCTCCTTTAAGACAAAGTGATGTTTACAATCAGTGTCAGAATGCACTGCGTATCCTTGAGATATAAAGATACTTGCTCATAAAACATTCACAGAGATTTTTTTTTTTAAATATTAGCTTAGTTTTCAACCTGTATTCTAGTGAACAGAAGCCTACAGTACATACCTTCCATAGGATGATAAAGGATGCAGCCTCATATATGATAGGCTATGTTAGGCCAATGGCCCAAAGGTCTTCGGTGTGCATGTGGTGCTGAGATCACTTGATAACTGATGCTTGGAATTACAGCCAAAAACTA